ATTATTCAGTCAATTATATCGATTATATACTAATGAAAACATACCTATGGATATTATATTATATTCCTGACAATAAATGTTACACACAGGATCTTTAGGACATTCCTCCTCTCACAAATAGAATGTTATAAGGATTAAAACAAAATCTTTCACTGCACTGCAAACAGTAGCCCGTGTAGAAACGCATATCTTTTTATCTCTAATCACATTTTCTTATATTGAGCAAAAATACAATTTTGCTTGTCTAGAATGATTAAAATTAGCATAAAAAACAGCCACTGAAAGACTGTAATGCCAAAAAAAGGCAGAAGAAATGCCAAAAATGAGTGCTAGCTAACGATTATCTAGCTAGTTATCTAGTGGAGTTTTACAGAAGATTCTTAAAATAAGTATTTTGTCACTTTGAACCTTTTATAATAATTAACAAATAAAGTCTTACAATAAGACACAATTTCTTCAAACAGCATAATAACAATAAGTGACTTTGTGTTAAATGAAGGAACCAGAAACATTCTTATTTTTATCAGTTTTTATTAAAACAATGAAAAACTAAACAGCTGCTTCATTTCCAACACTGGGACCAGACGACTTTCTCTTAAACTGAGAAGTTGTGCGAGTGCTCTTACTCTGAAAATAAGGACAATAAAACCAGATTCTAATGCAAAACATGTTTGAAAATCTTTTTTGACCAAAAATAAGACTAATTTCCCAGAAAGAAGCCTTTAGATTTAGTGTTTGGTCTGCTATATCCAGCCCTTGTTGTTTGATCAATAGATTTATTGAATAGTAATTCTAAATACTTGTAATCTGTATCAGGAGAGTAAAAGTCGGATCGGTGCATCTCTAGATTCTGGTTTTACATTCTGACCCAGTTTCCTCAATGAAGAATGGAGGAGGAACTCTGTTAACTGTCTGACTGTGTATCATTTTATTTTAATGAATCATTATCAATATTTCACTGCTCATCCAATATTCAGCAGGCACAGACTGTGAATGTGAGTCGGTTCAGGCTGAATTATTCTCAGAAGATAAAAACGTCCAGTTTAACCAGATTATTTACACCACTTATATACGTTTGATCTTTGTTTTATTCTGTATGTAGCAATGGAGGCTCCTCTGCTGCTTTCATAACAGCGGCACATTATGACTAAATAGTGCTGATGAAGAAATGTTTATTCCAGGATATCGACATGTCTTCATCTTCCAGGAAACAAAGAAGGTCTCTATGACGTTTACACCTACCGTCCTGGGTTCCCATCCTGGAAAACCTGAAAAGGGAAAATGGCCGGTTATCTTAGAAATAATCTATGTTGTCCTGGAAAATGTGAATTGTATTTTTTCCCCTCGCTCAGATAAACCTGGGTGCTGAATAGTGAGCAACTGAGTGAATGCTGTCCTGTATTGTCAAGAAAAACCCTGGAAATGTCCTGGAAATGTCCTGGGAACCCTGACAGTGATATTTTTCCTCCCAGGAGATCAAGCTAGCCCAGAAGCGAGCTCAGAAGTACTCAGCAGTGCCTGACATGTGGTCCAAGTGTCTGCTGGGTCACTGTTACGGCCTCTGGTTCATCTACCTGCCCACCTTCGTCCGGGCGGAGAGCGCCAAGGTGCGTGCGCTGCACACGGCGTACGACGTCCTCAAACACATGGAGAACCGCAAGGTGGTGCTGCCGGACGAGGTGAGACTCTGATGGGGTCCAAGGCTGTTCTGGTGTTGAATGAGGACTTCTGTTATTGCTTCTCGTTATTGTCGCATACCGACACTTTAAGTGATAGATAGATATATATATTTGATATATGATATTCTGTAGGTTCACACTGATAATCATAAGCTAACAATAGCTTGTAGTTTATTGGACAGGATTTTGGTTTGGAGCGGTTATGTTGACGACCGTAGCAGGCGGAGGGCAGTAAAGCCGAACCCAGCGGACACACAGTGTGTGAGTGAGTGAGTGTGTGTGTGTTGTGTGTTTCAGGTGTGTTACAGGATCCTGATGCAGCTGTGCGGTCAGTACGGTCAGCCGGTCCTCGCTGTTCGAGTCCTGCTGGAGATGAAGAAGGCTGGAATCACACCCAACACCATCACCTACGGATACTACAACAAGGTCCAAACACACACACACACGCACACACAAACTACACCGTCACGCGCTCAGTTTTTTATATAAGTGTGAAGAAGATTGGGGGAAAAAAAGGATATATATAAATATAATGTTAAATAATGTTACAACACTGGATGTTGATTGAGACCAAAGTGTCAAATAATGAGTTAAATGTAATTCCTGTCTAGAATACAGACTGAATAATATAAAATAAAATAAACTGATCTGATAAAGTCCACTAGTGCACTTTATTGCTCAGATAAAAACATGTTTTATTTTTGGAGCTGAAGGAAAAGTATGACACTTTCTCTTTCTTTTTACACTCCACCTTCATCATCTAACTCATGATTTACTGATGTATTCAGTTGCATTGACAAACAACCTTTTAAGTTTCAGTCTTAAAAACAAAATGACTGAGGTCAGGAAGCTGCAGGACAACAGATGAGTGGATGGATGTTTGCATTAATAAGAGGTTTAATCGGCTGTCCTCTGTCCTCAGGCAGTGCTGGAGAGCAAGTGGCCCTCCACCAGTCAGGGTGGACGTCTCCGCTGGGCCAAGCTGAGGAACGTCCTGTTGGCCGTGGCCCAGTTCAGACAGCCAATCAGACGACGGCAGAAGAGCGGCTCAGTGGGGTCGCACGGAGGTCAGAGAAGATTTACTTTTACTTTTCATACATTTAGCTGATTATTCTTGCATACTTTTACTGAAGTAATGTTTAAAATGCAAGATTTGTACTTCCCTGAGTAAAGAATGTAAGTACTTCTTCCACCGCTGATCATTAGCAGTCGTCTGTCTCCGTTAAACAGTGCAATCATAAACATCAATAATCAAACCTCTGGAGTCATTTTTTAAAAGTTAAAGATAAAAAATGTAATTTATTCTGTTTGTTTTAAAGAAGCGATGATGGACCCCGATCTGAGGCCCCGCCCCCACTCCAATCTGATTCGTCAGTCCAGTTGGAGCGGCCTGTCTGAAAGCTCCAGTCACGAGTCTCTGACGGGTTCACTGGTGAAGAGCAACAGTCTGAGCAGCATGAAGACGGTGACTGACAGTAAGCAAAGTCTTCTGTGGGAACCCCCGGTGGATGGAGGCTGTAGTTTTACTCTTTTACTGTCAGTAGTACATCAGTCGTCTCCCTTTCTGTCCCTCAGAGGTGAAGCTCGGCAAGAAGACCATCCTCCGTAACGCGGGGACCAACGGCTGCGGTGACGCCGTCTCCCGTAAACCTCCGATGGGACGCAGAGACACCTCCACCCCGCCTCCAGCGCCTCCTGGCGGTGTTCTGGTTCGGCGGAGCCAGGTCTGTCTGTCCACCTTCTACAAAGAGTGCGCAGAGTCGGCTGACTCGGAGCCGGACTGCGGCTGCCATCCTGCAGAGAGAGACGGCAGGTCAGTCAGTCAGGACGGAAAATCTGCTCAAAGCTGGATCCAATTAAATTCTCTGTTTTTAATGTCAATTTTAGAAACTAAATCATCAAAAAACATAAAATCGCTTTCATGTAATTTGCCTCAACTGACAGAGGATATTGGACAGTTTTCTAACGTTTTACCTTCAACTAGTTTTGTACACTTCACGTCATTTATCTTTTTCCCTTTGACCTCCAGACCTGCAGGAACGCGCGACACAGCCAGCAGAAATAAAGTCGTAGACGAGAACTACAACAACGTCTCCTCCCCGAGTCGAGGAGGTCTGGCGGGGAAACTCCAGCAGCTTCTCACTCCAACCAGACACCGAGTGTCTGTTCGACGAGCAGCCAGCGTGGACGACCGGCGACCAGGAGGAGGAGGAGGGATAGGACGAAGGGTGTCTGAACAGAGGCAGTCCAGGAAAGCTCAAGTGGCTGAAACGCTGCTGAAAGCCAAGGAGAGGCTGGTCAACGCCACCTCAGAGGTTCGACTGCTCATATCTGAATCCGCTTTATTCTGAAAGTGTTGTCATTGTTTCCTTCTTCGCTCTTGTTTACCAGAACCTCCACTCTCACTTATTATTTCTCTTTAAATAGGTAACTTATTTAAATGTTTTCAATTCTTGGTGGCCCCAGTGTAAGGCTAACATTAACCCTTGGGGACAATAAACCTCACCAGAAACATGTCCATGTTAAGGCCAGGACACACCAA